GTAGAGGCTACGTTTAGGACTATGGTGGACCGGCGGGGAGAGTACGGTGGGCCATAGATGACATTTTGACGTAGTGTGAAACCATCCAGTGATGACCATATTTGGGCTTTTGGCCGTTTTCATGATTATTGTACAATTACATATGTAGATAAACTCTTTGTTAATTTTTATTAATCTTGTTATTTCTTGGTAAACAGGAGTCTTCCAAACTATTATTTTTGTTTTGGTTTGTAAATACGAATTTAAAGAACCCATCACAACTTGAGGTCGGTTGTGACAATGATATTCAATGTTTTGTAGATGAATATGGAATTTATTTCACGAGTGGGACAGATATTTTTAGGAGTGCGAAGCATGAGTGAAAACTATCAAAAAACCCTGTCTCACGAGTGAAATAAATTCCATATTCATATACAAAACATTGAATTTTCTGTTTATTACATTTTCTTTGATTTTCCCTTTGCCTCAGTCTTACAGTAGAACCGTAAACAGTCTTTCAGTAAAACAGTATCATAGGCTGTGACGTCATAGTTAAGCGGTTGAGACGTCATAGCTAAAAAAAAGTTGTAAACATGGATTTTTATCAACATATTTGGAGAAACTTTGGCAGTTTTAGTCTCTGTCAGGATGGTTCATTTACTTTCTCTATCGTATGACAGGCAAGGAAGTTTAAAAAAAAAACAAAACAAAAACAAAACAAAAAAAACACTCTTCGTGAAGGGAAGGGAAATCGTGAGTTTTGTTGCACTTCTGATATTCTCACACTGCGAGAATACCCCATTTTAACATGTATGTATATATATATATATATATATATATATATATATATATATATATATATATATATATATATATATATATATATATATATATACAAGTCTGTTGATTTTCTTGAGCCCCGTTAAGCTCTGTTAAACCCCAAAGCTGTTTTCATCACGTTTAAAAATGTATATAAACATCGATTCCAACGGAAATGATTTTTGGTACTAAATTTATTTATCAAAGACAAAAGACGCAATTAATACATCAAAAATTACAAAACAGTTTACAGTTCTTGTTTTGGATCTATTTCATCAAAAGGAGGACAATCTGTTGTGCATGTTTCTGATGATTAGACTAGCGAAAGAGAAGGAATGGACGTTGTTGGGATCGCTAGTCTAATATTATTTCATATGTTGATTGTTTCCCCCGTATACACTAACCTTTCTACGCAAAGTGACTTTCAACATTTTTTTGAATCTTTAGTTATTTCTAAATATTCTTCACTTTTGAAGTGGGTAGCGGCATTTCTATGCATGTCCGATTTCGCTGCCGTATATTAACTAAATAATTTTAAAATGATTTGTAGATAATAGACCATCGATGTTCACTAAAAACAATCAATATTGAGGACCACAATAGGTGAGAACAGCTGGGTGATTGGTCACTAATTACTGTATATACATAGCCACAGGCGATAACGGGTGTTTTACAGGTGTTGAGATGACGACACGCAAATTACCGGATGCATATTGATAAAAATATGTACTTTGAAATAAGAAAAAATACACATCCGAGTAACCCAGTACCATTTTTAGTATTCGATACTCGGACGTTCGATCGAGTACCCGGTTAACCGGGTACTCGTTGACATCCCTAATATATATATATATATATATATATATATATATATATATATATATATATATATATATATATATATATATATATATATATATATATATATATATAATTATATATATATATCTTTGCTGTATACCTTAAGCAGTTTTGCAGTTTTAATTTATAGCCCTAGACTTTTTAAAAAAAACCCTTGTACATGTATTTATAAATTATGGGGGAAAATCAAGAAAAGTAGACCCCTCCTCCCCAATAAATTTGTGATAAACAGTATCCTATTATAATTATTCTTTAAAAACCATCATATGGCACGTTAAGCTTATGAAATTATACATTTTTCCCTCACTATTAAGCCAGATTAAACCAGTGTATAATTTATCTAAAATGATGGATTTCTTTATTATTTATAAAGTTGTAGTAATCTTAATTATAAAAAACAGCCTTGAAAAAGAAAGCGACGAGTGGAGATCTTCCTGAAAAAAAAAATCAGTCTAAAGGATTTCTTGGATTCAAAAAGTGAAAAACAAGGTAATCTTAAAAGGAATATTCATTTTATTAATTAGTAGGGTTTTAAGATTAAATGCAAATTCAACACTAATCTATCCATTTTCGCATCAATTCTCTTTCAGATCTTCTGAAGAAATGTCATTTATAAATTCATAGAAGTCCCCGTCTATATTCATGTTAAATTCTTATCTGTCAGTCAAAATCACAGGTTCCTGAGTAACATGACTATATATGTATAATTTCGCGTTATAACGCGAAAGTTACGCGTTTATTCGCGAAAGTTTCGCGTTATAAAGCGAAAAATGTTTTTTTTTAACCTACGAAAATGAGCTCAATGGGCTTTCGTATCAATGGGCTTTCGTACAAATCAAATAACTTTTAAAAAATGTTATATTAGAATTTTGATAAATTTCAGACAATTAAAAAAATCCCTATTATCCAGTAAAGCTGTAATCTTGTTAGAGACTTCTTGTCGATCAAACAGGGATGCTCAACACATCTGTGACTAATTTATGTGTTATAATAAAACAAAATGCCATCCTTCTAAAACAGCTGTTAAGGACATACGCAACGTACCTTACCTACTGATAATTTTTCAAGATATTCTTAATTTAAGATTATAGTGCCATCAGATGTTCGTCGACAAAAAATCAGCATGCATTACCAGGGGTTTTGAAAAGATATCAATTCATGAAAATTCTTGTATAATTCAAAGAAAAATACACAAAAATTACTAAACACATATTCTAGATGTTTTGTTTATCCAAACTTGTTTTAGAAGAAGTGTACAACAGCATATATAGACATACAAATGTATCACACAATTCCTTTAAGTATTGGAACTCTTCAACTCCAGGGAAAAAGACAATAAAGTTCAAACTACGTTGCGTATGTCCTTAAAGGGGCACAGACATAGATGTGTATAAAGTTCAAACATTTCGGTGGAATTTCATGACATCGTCGCAAACCCTTCTAAAAGGTTCTTAAACAGCTGTTAAAGGGGTATAGACATCGTTTATAAAGTTCAAAAATTTCGATGGAATTTCATGACATGACTTGCATACATCGTCGCAAACCACGGCCAAAATGCACGATCCTCTCTCATTCTGGAAAGAGGTACATGAATATGCTGATTCCTCACCGTGGCTTGTATATATATATATTGCGGAAGCGTTTCAGATCGATTTATAATATACATGTAACAACTTGTACATGTTGTACAGAAACTTCTTTTTATCTGAAAATTTATAAAACTACGAATTTGGGGGAAGTTTCTGATCAATTTTAAATAATATACATAATATATGCGTCTCGCTCTGAAATGCTCTCGCATCATGTAAGTCATGAAATTCTACTAAAACTTTTGGAAATGTGTTGATCTTATTCAGAGTATGTTTCTAGGTCTTAATATTTTGCATTAATGGTATTGATTTTCCAAAAGAAATTGTATTTAGGAGTTAAAAGGTACACAATTTCAGCCTACCAGTGGCGGATCCAGGAATTTATTAACGGGGGGGGGGGGGCGTAGAAGGTATGGGGATTGTATTGAAGCCCCCAGTGGGTCCAGGGCAAAGCCTAGCCCGAAATAGCAAAGCCCTGATGGGGTCCGGGGGCGAAGCCCCCGGAAGCTGACGAATTCTTACAAATAAGAGGTGTTTTCCCTTAATTTTAGGATAATGAACATATAAGTTCTACTAGTCCGAAATATCTGACGTTTTCCTGGCTTTTTCACGATTTTGATATTCTGGCACGTAAAATATCAAAAACGTAAAAAAGCCAGGAAAACGTCAGATATTTCGGACTAAAGTTCTACATACGAAGAATTCAAACGGGAGGGTGCACGCCCTTCGCTGGATCCGCCTTTGCCTACATACTTTGGGGAGCAAAATTTGACAGAAAAGTCATTATAAATTGACTATTCTTATAAAGAAATTAATTTTTAGAAAATCATTAAGAGTTATCTCTCTTGTCAGAAATCCGGAATTTAAACTTCCGTACGAGTAAGTTAGTCAAGTTTTCTCCCCTTAGTAAACAGTTGCAGCGAACAAAATCGATTTTCTGTGGAAAAGAGACTGATGTGTTATTTTACATTATGTAATCTTAATCTGCCATTATAAATAATGTAACCACTATCGGGCTGTCATTGGACTTCTGGTGAATTTCGGTCAATGTTATGGGCAATGATGCCCGAATTATCTCCAACAGCAAACCGCCCACAAATTTTGAATGGGTAAGTAAAGATAAATTTAAACAGAGAGCATAATGCACTGTAGTAGAATTCTATATTTTGTTATATCTGTATATTAAATATCTGTTATTTAAGGATCATACTACCAGTTTAAATGTTGATATTGCATAATAATCAGGGGGCATGCAGCTAATTGTATAATATATTAAACATCCTTATTTACTGCTAAATATAATCTGTTACGGGAACTGCTTTCAGTAAGTTACTGTTTGATTGTAAGGTTGTTGACAAAAATATTAAGATATATAATGTTGATATGAATATCATAAAAAAAGGAGAATGCTTAAACAGACATGCATATACCTATGTATCTGGTTTAAATTATTGTTAGATAATGCATCAAACATGTTAAATGCTTCTGCTATGGTGGAGTTGACATAGTCATTAGGTATACTACTTCATCATGCATGGCAACATGTCCAGGTAAGTATCAAAACTTTTGTCTGTTTGTGTCTATTTTGAGGCAAAAGTATACTGCATGTAATGTACTTTTTCCTTAATTTTACATGTGGTATTATCTACTAAACAAAAGCTTAATGAATAAGCATGCAGTGTTTGAAATAGCTGGTACATATACTAGTAGGCTCTTCAGGAATTTTATTATTGCTTTATTTCTGCAGGGTGATTATGATCAGTCTATCAATGCCTCATCCAAGATGTATGTAACAGATTCTGTCATCCGGAGTTCACCCAGACCATGATCACAGGGGCCAGGCAGGATAATCCAGTAGTATGTTGGTGACGGCTATTCTCTGCTCCTTCATCCTAGGCATTGTGGTAACATTGATCATTCAGTTCCTCATCTTCAAATATCAGCTCAGTCACACCCCAGTGGAACCAATCAAACATCGGCCACAGTTCACCGACTTCAAACTGCCAAAGGTGCCAACAACATTTTACTTGCAATAAGGTTTAGAAAGAATTGAAATTTAAAATATTAAGGACAGTTATATATAGATCTACAATTTTTTAAATACATCCAAAAAGCTGAGAAAGAGGTTTTTTGGTGATTTTTTTTCCTTATATTAGAATGATATAATTTCTATGAATGAAAATGTTACTTATGATATATTACATATAAGTCTCAGTTAAAATGTGTCACTTTCATCCACAAAGGTGAACATGGGTAGAATGGTCATTGCCAACAAATTTCTACAAAAGTTTAGAACTCTTGCAGTTAGGTGTGTTCATTTTAGAAATTGTAGGACAGTTGATACAGTTATACAATTGTATAAAGAAAAACTTGATTATTTTTAAGGACTTGTTGGCTGCTGCAAATGAAAGTAAAAAGAAAGAGCAGAAAGAGAGTTGTCTGGCCTTCAACCTGATCATCAGTTTCTTGTTTAGAGAACTGAAGGATAAAAAGCTAATTAGAAGGTGAGTTTCGTATATTGTACATGTTGTACCAGATATACATGTACCTTTTAAATATGTGAAACCTGGTAGTTAACCAGAATGTAAAGAAACAAGTGGTGGTCTAAGGTAGGTTAGAATTTATTTATTTAAACTGCATTTTTATCTAATTACTGTATACAGGGAAAATTTTGCCCTCATTTTATTTTCGCCCCTTTCGCCCTACTCACAGGTTGGTGAATTTAAAATGGGGCAAATTTAAAAAACACAGTATATTTCTTAAACAAAATTGTGACTGGTCTAATTTAAAACAAGGCAAAATTGTTTGAAAGTTTGAAAGGGCGAAAATAACCCGTATACAGTATGTAAATCAGATTGCATTTGTCCAGAAAGTATATTTTCTGAGAAATTGAATATATATATATATATATATATATATATATATATATATATATATGAAACATCTATAATATGTACAGTAAAAGTGATACATGCACTTCAAAAGCTGAGGTTATATTAGGTGACCTCAAGCAATGAAGCTGGATTGCAATACATTGAAGCAAAATCATCCAATATGCTATATTGAGCTCTTACTTGAAACTTTTTAAACAGATGGGTAATCAAGAAAATGAACACAGAATTTGCAGAACTGATGCAAAAAACAGCTGGAAGAATACTGGAACAGATAACAGTAAGCTTGACTTAAACAATTTCACCATGGCAACATTACGTAAATGAACTGGTGTGAGGATAACCAAAAAATGTTGAATTTATGGAAAAAAACCCAGTTTTTTTTGTAGTATCATTAAAGTTGATTGTCCCTCTGATAAGAAAGATAAATGTCACATGGATAAATGACAATTATTCCTTTATGAAATTGTCATGTTAAACATTGAAAGATAATGTCTGTCAATTTTTGTCCCAAGAGATATGCTAAAACTGTATGCATCATTTTAAATATGAATTCAATTTCTTTTGGAAAATCATTTAGCTTCATTATGATTTGCTGTCAGAGCAAGTGAACAGAGGGATAACAAAACTGGAAAAAGAACTTGAATGTCTTTATAAAAGAACTTGTAATGAATGTCTTTATAATTAGAATGTATCTTTTCTATGTTCACTCTTCTGATTATACTGAGATCCTTTATTTGTCAAAACAGGTTCAAGAATTCAATTTAGGCTCAACATTCCCAGTCATCAAGTCAGTAACTGTCAAAGATACCCATATAGAAAATGATGCAATAGATGTAAGTTACCTTATTCACTGCCTTTGGAATTGTTAGTATTTCCCCATTTCTTAATTCAAAAATGAAATTCCCTGATTTACAGAAATTAGACATAGAAGTTGACCTAGATTATAAAGGAGGATTCCAGTTAGCTCTCGGAATTGACCTAGTTCTTGGAAAGCATGTGTCTCTATCGGTCACTGTTACAAGTCTTCGGGGGCGGGCGAGACTACAGTTCTCTCATAAGCCCTACACTCACTGGTCTTTCTCCTTTTATGAGGAGCCCCAGATTGATTTCCAGGTGGAGTCCAAGTACGGAGGGAGGGCCACACCCCAACTTACTTCACTTATAATCACACAGGTAGGGTTGAATTTTGTAGAATAATTCCAGTACAGATATCCCGGCAAAATGATTTGGCTTTAGATTTATGAAGTAAAATATGGAATTTAAGATGTTAGAAACATTTTCAATCATGCCAAACAGTACCAAATGGTAAAGGTTTCTGTTGTATGTTTGCATTTATTTGCCAAACTGTAATGACTTTTTTGTTACAAGGTATTAATAAAAGTTTTATACACTCTGCTTATAAATGGAGGTTAATATGCAATACATATCGTAATTCAGTTCCAAATATCACAATATATCGCAATACGAAATTTCCAACCGATACCCAGCCCTAATATACTGAACTGAATACATTAAGAACACATATTTGTGACTTCCAGTGGATTTTGGCATATACAGTTAAACTTCGTTATCTCGAAGTTGACGGAACCATTGATGAACTTCGAGATATCCGGGGGTTCGACATATCGAGGGTTATAATTCAAATGAACTTCAAATAAACTTAGTGCAGTGAACATGTACTTAATAGTAAAATATGTCAAGTTCCTTTTTTGTTCGAAATTTTGTATACGATTTCTTTAATATACATGTATTTAGCAATCAAAAAATTACATCCTCTTTATAATTCACAAAATAAAAAGCTTGTATAATATGCACAGAAGTATAATCCTTCTACCAACGCTGCAAGTCAACCGCTAGCATCGTTTCCCATGTATACATAACTGGATATCGTCTATGCATTGTAAATTTAAAACCGGTCGCTGTCAGAATAACAAAAACGAAATATACAGTTTCTTTTATTGGAAAAACATGTTCACACATGTAAAATCAGTTAAAAGAAAATTATTTTACCATAATAAAATCAAATGCAAAAGAAGAATCACCCACTTTTGTCTAACAACAGTACAACACTGAATCACAGGGCACTACAGCACATGTTTTCACTGGGACACACGCTCACATGATGGTGTGTACGGACGATTGTAAATTCTGCACTCTCATATAGGGAAAATAAATTCTAACTGCATTTAATTAGAGAAGTTTGTTTTACTTCGATGTTTATAATTTTCACTTTCATATCCATGAACTATGTATGCTCGCATAATTCACATAGCATTAAATAGCGATTATCAAGGTAAACGTACCCAAGCCACAAAACAATTAACGTGTCATCAACGCGTATGCATTAGACTACTACACACAACCTTTCGCTTGCATAATTACAATCAAGGTAAGCCATACATACACTTCGTATAATTATCGCGCTATTATCTGTTGATCACAGAAACACAGGTAACCCGAGCGTGACAGACAGGTGGGTGTTATCAATAGAGCATTCAGTTTACCTAACGGACTTGATCATCAGAGCGGAAAATTATCCTGACTTCGAGATAACGCATGTGATTTTAATGAATGGGTACACAATTTTACTTCGAGATAACCGGGGTATTCGACATTACCGTGTTCGACATAGAGGGGTTTATTTTAATCATTTATAAAGCAAATTTAGTCGGGACCGCGGCCTTACTTCGACATATCCGGGGTATTCGAGATATCCGTGTTTGAGATTTCGAAGTTTAGCTGTATGTACATACATGGATATACATGTACCAATGTTTGAGATAACAAAGTACAGCTGATTTTGCAGCTAGAAAGCTAAATGTAGTATAATATAATTCTCCTGTAATATGGCCATACAGTATAGGGGTTTTTTTTATAGATAAAAAGGACCATTAGGAAGAAACATACTCTACCTAACTACAAGTTTAGGATGAAGCCATTCTTTACTCCCCCACCACCCAGAGTGCCTCAGAAGGATCTCTATGTGAACGGCACTAAGATAGGTCAAGGGAAACTGACTGTTATGATCAAGAGCTGTTCACGGTTGATTGATGTTCCAGCAGATTCCATGCTCTACTGCACATTATCCATTGGTAAGGAAGGATTTTCAAAAAATCTAATGAGACAGTTGTAGAATTGTAATTCAACAGGTTTAAGCTTTGCTATTTAAAGTAAAAAATGCTTTTTTTATTGGGAATTTAAATAGGAAATCTTTATTTGTAAATAAGAAACAACAAAGGCTATAATTCCAAACCTACATGTAACATACATGTAAGATTTAATATTCATTTTATGAAATTTTGATGCATGCATAGATTACATACTGGAAAATTACAGACATCTAAAATTATTAACTAGATAGCTGTCCATGGCTGGAGTTGCTTGAAAAGAAGAAGAAGATCTGGGTAATACAAGATGTAGAAATCATAAAAGGTTCTGCAGAATCAGCAGGACTCAGCTTAAAAGAGGCAAGTATAAGAACAGGTGTGGAAAACATGAAGCTGATCACTGACCCCTCCTTTAAAACCATCATCGGAACCCACGGGTTTTCTCTCTGTTACACTACATTCAATGTCGGAACCCATGGGTTTTCTCTCCATTACAATGTAGTGTAACGGAGAGAAAACCTGGGGGTTCCAACGATGCTTTAAAACATGCTGTAATGAATTGTATTACAGAACATAGGAAGTCTATGTTACTGAAAAAAATGCTGCCAGTTACTAACTTTGTTGCCAATACTGATATTACAGAGTTACTGGAATATGTATTGTAAATCTGATTTTTATGTCCTGACAACATGCAGGCTTGGTGAATATACCGTATAACGGGTATTTTCTGCGGTTGGAAATTTTTGCGATTTAACCCCTAAAAGATAGCAAATTAATTTCTGCGTTTTCAATTTCTGCGGTTGCAATTAAACCGCAAAAAATTATTTACTGGGTATGATCACCAGTCTCTAAGAATTATCAGATAGCTGCCATGTTTACGTTTTATAAATTCATTGAGACATATTGATCAAAGTTGCATGAGAACTGGTATTAAGCTATTAAGCTTAATCAAACTGCTATCTTTCAGTTAGTCTTTGTAAAATTATGTCGAATCCCAATTGAAATGAATTATTGCAGTATCCGTCCACCCAAACAACAATAAAATATCTTTATTCTACATTGTAACAAACGTTTTATGCGATCTATTAAAATATTTTAATATATAGATAATTAATGCATCCAAGCCATATTCTAAAAAATACACTTATACCGGTAGTTAATTGCCATCAAAATTAATCTGGTGTTCATATTTTAAGCTCAAACAAACAGTTGCATAATCAAGTAACCTAAAGTTGACCGTGTACAATCACAGGTGCCATGTGCATTGAGGCGTAACTAATCCTGTCAGTCGTCTGCATTGTGTGAAATTCACGAGAAAATCAAGCCACTTTGTGTATACAAGCAGTAATTATGGTCTCCAGATAAAACACAAGATTGAAAGAAGTGTTAAAGAAAGAAAGAAAAGCTACTATGTGTTGTTTGCAGCTATCGGAGTTTGGACTATTAATTGCGAAATCTCTTTTAGTCATTTACATGTATATCCGTATAAAATAAAGAAGTAGGTACAAGAAAAGATGTTTTTGTATAAACTTATTAAATTGATATTATTTACAGCAACGTTTTAATTCAATATGTTTTGGAAAAATCCTGATATCTAAAATCTTCAAATTTCGATGACACCCGAATTTTCTCGCTAACGAGGACATACGCACCACTTACCATACTTGCATGTATAAAATATATATCTGAAGAAATATTGAAAAATATTTTGCGATTGTAATTTTTGCGGATTTGTCCTATCCGCAAAATTCCGCAAAAATTGGACAACCGCAGAAAATACCCGTTATACGGTATATACTCCTCAAGTGGCTAAATCATCATATTGACCTCAAACACAGCAATAACTGTATTTTTCTAAATCTGACTTTTCTGTCCTGACAACAGGATTTTTTACTGGACAAATATGAGGATGTTGTTGTGGTGGACTTTGTAACTCCTGGATCCCCTGCTGACCAATCAGACATTAGAAAGGTAACGACCAGTCATTTTATCATATTAATGAGACGTGTTATAGAACACATTGCACAATGGTTTAAATCCATGATAACAACATTTAGGTTTGCTGGATAAACAGATAGGCTAAGTATTGCTGCTAACACTTGATGCTGTTGGTTATATGTTGTACAAGATACTTATTCAGCTGCATTGTTCAATTCCACCTTAGTTATATAGCTAGGCTGTAGATTTAGCTGGCGATTAAGTAGCATTTTATTAATGTCTTAGTATTTAATAGCTTTTATCCACTTCACTACTGAAATATAAGCTACACACTAATAAACATCCATGCTATTAAATGAGGATTAAAATTCAGTACCTAATGATAACCGTGAAGTCGTCATATGTATTACTATGATTAATTGAGTTATGATTTTTTTTTCTTTAGGGAGATGTTTTGACATTTGTTAATCATGTGAAGGTCACAAATTCTAAACAAGCTGCCAAATTATTCAAGAATGCTGGAGAGAGGTACGGGATAAAAAAGATTGTTTCACATTTTGTGGTTTTAACATCATACATGTATTTTGATTGTGTGGGTGTAATTTATACATGTATTTAAGACATTTTTGTGACGTCATTCTTTTGTTTCTACAGTTTCATATTTCAAAGAAGGTACTAGCTATAGTCCAATATTATTTTCAGGAGTACAGTATTATATCTAATATTGTACTCCAAAATAATACTGGACTGTGTGAAACAAAGGATGACGTCACCTAGCTTTTACACAACAAATGAATAAGGCAACAAATAGACAAAAATTATGCATTTTATATAGAAATCAAGATCTCATAATCCATTCAAGCCATATAGAAATCAACATCTCGTAATTCAATTCATGCATCAAAACTTCCGAAGTAGGAATATCCCAGAAATCCCTTAGAATTTACACTCAGGTCACTGATTGTGAAACTAACAGTATTGAAGCACATTATATGGTTGAGTTATTACTTAATATTAAATTTATGATTTTTCTGAAAACACATCCATTTAAATCCACATAAAGTGGTCCATTGAAGAATGCTAGTATTCAGAGGAAGAAAAAACGAAAACGACAAGTTTACACTCGATCTGTAAATATATCCCATACAACTGTGATTTTTTCCTGGAAAATTTAATTTCAATATATATTTTAAAATTAATTTACGTAAAGATGTGGTGCTTTCGATATCCAAGGGACAAAAACGGCACTTTTCTGGAATATTTGTCTACTGGTTACTTACAATCTTCATCCGTTGAAAAAAAAAATCCTTCACAATACTCTCAGAATTGCTTAATGTCATGAGGTTGCTCAGGTCTTTTTAACGCATCCATAAAGTGCCACAACAATAAATAATATATAATTGGGGTTCAGTAAGGGTTTTTAATTCAAAAACTATTCATCCCTTTGAAAGAAATCTCTTGTACCCCTAAGTGCCCCATCCAGCTGGTTTGGTCACTGTCACCAGTATTGTATTATGACAATAGCCAATACAAAACTGAAAAGTGCATTGAAAAATGTTTTAAGTAAGATACAAAACTCAGATGGTCTATTATGTCAGATAGGAGACTGAAACTCGGGGCTTCACACCTCGTCTCAGTACCGTATCTGACATATAAGACCATCTTCGTCTTGTATCCCTTACATATAAGAGTCAAATCATTAGAAGTGATGCTATAATTAATTTCTAAAAATGAAGTTTATTTTATTTTTTTAGGTTTCTGGTGAGAATAGAAAGGGCAAAGATGAAAAATCATCCTCCTGTTGACCTTCAAATTATCGAAGATAATGTTAGTCTCAAGGTCAGTTTAATTCACTTTAGTATAATGACACAGCCTGATTTTTTCTGTAAAGGTTACCCTTTTTTCACACTCAACAGGATGACACACTTTGACATCTTTCTTTAGTACATGTACTGTGTATTCTAGATTCTTAAAGATGTGTGTATGTACATGTATGTTCCTTACCAGACATATATCTGCATTGTATTTGCAAGTTAGTCTTGTTGTTTGGCTTCATAATGTCATATTAATTCAATATATGGCTTAATTAACCTTTTGTTTCAGGATTTTCCCCAGAATGAGAATCAGAAAACATCCGAGAGCTCTGAAGACTTTGTCAACATCAGTATAAACCCCCACCAGGGGGAAAAAAGTTCATTTACCCTCCCCTCCCCATCCAGCAGTCCACAGAAAAGGGTTTTAGACTTGGTAAACACTGGCCTTGGAAAAGGAAAGAATCTTCGAAGAGGGAGGCAGAAAAGTAATACAATTCACGAAGCCCCGGCCAACTTACAGCCTGCATCACAAACCAGTCCTAAGCCGGTCAGGAGGAATGTATCAGATAAGAACCTGTCTGCTCTTGGAACTTCACCTTCTGGATCCTCCTTTTCTGAGGTGATGGATCTCAAGGGGCGGAGTCAAAGTGATGTATCGTCTTTGAGGGTATGTTTATTATCTGATGGTGTTTAAGTTGTATTGTCAATTGGCTTTTCTATGGTCAAATACAAAAGGTTTGTTTAAAGTGAAAAATTTTAAATGTTAGTAAGTAAACAAAAAGAAAGTGAAATAAAGGTAATGGGGTTATTTTTGCCGTTATTTTTACCTACTTCACCTCAAAAATGTTTGGCATACAATGTATGTAGAATTTTATTAGTGTTAATCTAGCAATGAAGTGGAAATATTACACTAATATCAAAACCAAAGACCAAGAAATTTTGAATGATTTTTATGACTACATATATATATATATATACTGTTTTTGCTTTGCCATACAATTGTATGAAAGCTTTAAAGATTCTAATAAAAGTTTTCAAATAAGTAGACCTTGTATTTTATTTAAAATGTATTTTATCTTTAAGAAGCTGGCATATACCGGTAAATGTATAGATATGTATATTTCTTAAATGTGAATGTTTGCTGGTACCTGTTTAATATACCCTTCAGACATCACGGTATTGAGTCATGTGACCAACCCTTTTCTTTTTGTCACTGAACAGGTCAAACATTTATTTTTCTAACAGTTAGTTTTGAATAAAGTTATTTCCATTTTACTTTCTCTTTTAAAGTCTCTGGAATCAGCTGATGTACAACTTAATGAAGACACAGAAGATGAAGATGACAGTACTGATGTCATTCAAACAATAGAAATTCCTTCAAGCCAAGTAAGATTTGTGTTGTCATGGGAGAAAAGGCAAAAAGCTTCAGTTAGCTTTCTTTCACATCTAAAGCCCTACAGGAGAATGTTAGAAAGTAATTTAGATAAGATATACAGTATAAGACCAGATTTATCAACTTCTTTGAATTTCTCAAGGTACATGTATATATTAATGAAATTGATATTTTTTTTTAAGAGAACATCGGATTAATATGTATGTGTGTTTATCAAATGTAATTTTTAGTCCAAATTTCATCACAATACAAAACCTGTTCAAGTCTAAATGATTGAAAATTGTTTTATCAATTAAAGTTAAATGTAATTAACATTTGTTATTGCAGAATCCTGTGTGGAATGAAACATTCACATTCAATGTTGGTGCTGATGAGAAGTTCCTGAATGTGTGTGTGTCATGTAAAATACCAGAAAAACTAGACAAACAGAACAAAGTCATCAAACCCTCAAAAGTCTCTCCTATAGGACAGGTAATTCTGAAGAGCTGTCACAGAAAATATTACTGTCTGGTATCCCCCAGTAACAAGAGTTTACTAAAATAGTACTGTTTTAGTGAAAAATTAGTTCAGGACAGTGAGATATTACAGTGTACTATTTGATATAAAGAAATCCATACTGGCAAGCTACTTTTGCTGGGAAGGAATTTTTTTCATGCATTTCTCTGGTTTAACGAGAAAAAAACATAGCTCTATGTAGAAGTGTCATAACTGCAATGCAATTATTCTTACTTAAATTAGGTCAGTCTCTCACTTCTGGACATATGCCTTGACTGCCTGATGACGTTACAGGGCGATACTCAGCAGACAGTGCCCTTGGAACCAACAGAGGCTAGGGCAGGGGCCAGGTAAAATTAGACATTTACAGAATCTGTCAATAGGCCCTGTTTTGGAAGATATTATTTTGTTTACATTATACTAGAATTGCTCAGTTGTCTTAGATATTCCAGTATACTATTGAGATTAACTGTCAGATATTATAGTGAATGATTTTTTATGTGCAAAACAGAAAATTTGGCCTTTTTAAAATTAAAAAAATCTGGATATTGTGTATTAACAAATGTAACCTATTTATCAATATACCCATTCCACACATTCCAGAGTCATTATTTTCCTAAGCTTCATATTAAAACTATGTAAATGTGGCATAATCATGGTAATGCAAAAAAATATATATAAAAATAATCATAATATTCAATACATTCAATGCCTAAGTAATCTTTGATATTGCTTTCATGTTTTTTGCCTCAAAACAGAATCAAATGTAAAATAACTTTACAATTGCTTTTCAGTCGGAGCAAGTTCTCCTCATATTCAGGTCACCCAGGTTTTGACCCCAATCTGTGTTTTGGTGACATAACTATGACATTTTGCCACAGTCCAAATGATCTGAAGGAGAAAGACCTGAAACATTTAACTAGGAAGCTCCCAGAAGCAGTGCCAAAAAATCTGAAAAATGAGGAAAAATCTGCTGTGTGTAGAAAAGAGGGAACCCCAGGGAATGCCCTTAAAAAGTAAGAAAGATATTAAATCATTTGAGAGATTGACATTTTTTTAAGCAGGCTATCATGTAAAAAAGTTATGAATCATTTCATGTAATCTAACTGTACAATGTCTTAACTCACGAAATGGGCCTGTGATTTGAATAAAAAATGACCATACAGTATGGAAGCATTTTAAAGATGATGTAATAAGCTTGTACATTTGTAGGATTGAAAAAGGAAAACATGATTTAATACTCACAAACTTTGAAACAGCAACTTTTTGCAACTACTGTGGGAAGAAGGTAAATTATTTGTACAGAGTACATGCAAAAAAAAATTATAAATGTCATGTATAATTTTTTTTTTCAGTTCAAATGTTGGATAGGCCTACATAATTTTTCTTCTTCTAGATTTGGTTGAAACAAGCCTTTTTGTGTTCCTTGTGCAAAAGGAATTGTCACAAGAAATGTGCAGAAAAGTATCAAACAGAGACAATTTGTACTGAGTAAGTTTATTAGCTCACCTGAGCTAAAGGCTCGAGTGAACCTTTCTGATCAAAGAGTGTCTGGTGTCTGTCTGTCCATCTGTCATGTATCCTGTGTTGTGTATTGTCTGTAAACTTTTCCCATTTTCAACTTCATCCCAGAACCACTGGGTCAATTTCAACCAAATTTGCCATAAAGCATGGGGATTCATATTTGTTCATATGAATGGCCAACCTTCTTTCCAGGGGAGATAATTAAGAAATAGTAGAAATTTAATGGCATCATTAAAAATATCCTTTCAAAAATCAACTAGTCCATATTAATATGCAACCAATGCAGATTCAAGTTTGTTCAAATCATGAACCCTGTGGGAAGGGTGGGGACACAATGAAGCATCAACGTTTTACATAAAGTATTAATGAAAAAAAATCTTTAAAAATCTTTTTCTCTAGAACAGCAGAGCTATGATTAAATATATTGATGTGCAAGCATCCTGGGTTGTGAAGATTCAAATTTGTTCAAATCATGACCCCAGGGGATTAGGTGGTGTCGCAATATAGGGTCAAACAATTTTACAGGAATATAGAGGGAAAAAAGTCTTTTTCGCTAGAACAGCAGGGCTGGTGTGACTCAGGTTAGGATTGTAGCCCATGGGCTTCTTGTATAGATAACTTTTTGTCTATGATAAAAGTTGGAAGCGTGCTATAAAAAAAATTACCAGTAGTGGTAAAAAGCTGTCATTTTCAAGTTAAATATTTGTTTGATAGTATATTTTAAGAATCTGTGAAGTTTGAATGGTTTAATATTTATATCCAGATCTGGACCAATGAAGCGATCAGATCCTAAAACGATCTGGAAACCTTTACAGATCAAGTCAGACAGAAAAAAGAATGTCCCAGATACCAGCAGCAATTTATTCAGTAAATTTACGCAGAAAAAGACAAGTAAGATCTGCAGACCATATCATTTTAACTCATTTCTATAACATCATTTTCATGTGCTTATCAGATGTCTCTTCTTTATTTTTACTGATGATGTATTTATACAGGAAAAAAAGCCTACAAAAATATTCTTTGACATGTATGAAAAATATGATATTTCATTTTATTACATCTAGTTTTGAAACAAGGTGCTTTATATTTAATAATTTGAGAATTTGAAAAGTGAATTTTAATTCAGTAATAAAATGAAATCAAAACTGCTTACCATCTGTAGGAAGAAGAAATGAATCATGGATCTATGTCAGTCATCCACCAGTAATTAAATCTTGGCTTTTTCAGCATCTAAGCCACAGTCATCCCCTCACAAACCAACCACCCCCACTTATCCCCTCCCCTACACCTTGTCTCCAAGCATTAGTCCCACTTTTGCACGCAGACGCAATTCAGCGCCTAACACAGAAAGTCTGACCAGCGAGAGCACGGTTTCACAGTCTGGGGATTCCATCTCTATGACACAGACACAATCATCTGGGTCACTTCAGAGCTTTGTCACAAATTTACCCAATCGTCAATCTGATGAACTAAGCACAAAGGTAATTAAAATCTGAATAGGATACCGTATAAATGGAATTTTTAGTGAGACGCAAATTTAGCGATTTATTATTAAAAATTGGTACATATTTAAAGCTAGAAGTAATTTTAGCAATTCTTATTATTCCAGCAAAAGAAGATTTTATAACCAATGTGCAATTAATTGTTAGCAATATTCAATTTTAGTGACCTCAACACCCTCGCTAATATTGCCAAAATGGAATCCTCATTAAAAATTCTGCTTATCAAAAACTGCAGATGGATCATTTATAAACATAACCTTAATCATTTGATCAGCATCATAACAATTATTTTCATCTGTAAGGTTAAGTTGTAATGATGACAAAAAACAAACACCAAGTTCACTTGGGATGGGCAACTTTCTTCATATCTTAACTTTTTAAGGAAAAGTAAAGTAAAACTTTACAATTCTGAAACTTTGCAATAAAAATGGGTTGTACATGTAAGTTTCCCACACTTACATAGAATTACATGTCTTTTGATTTTTCTTTTGACATATTTTACTGTTAATTTGTGCAATTTTCCAACATTTTTTATATACAGCACTGAAAAGCCACTATGTCTAATATTCTGTGTGTCCATTTGTATACTTAGCATTAAAAAATTCAACTTTGTTTAATCTTAAAAGAAAAACAAAGCCAATACAAACTTAGAAAGTTTGCACCATTTTTGTGTAGTGATGGTTTTTATATCATTTCTGTGTACTCATGTTTTTTTATAACCCTGCTTTTGTTAACAGAGTAAAGGCTCGGCTAACTCGGACTACGACACCTCAGATGAGTCGGATCTGGAGATGGAGGAGATAATCAGTGGAATGAGGAGGAAACAGAGGGGGCAGAATCTGGATGAAATGGTGGTCATGTCTGCCAAGGAAATGGGAAAAGAGTTATATGCAGAACTCTCTTTGGAAGAAAGAAAAGCAAAGCTAGATGCTATGGTTAGTTTTTTTTCCATTCTAAGCAGGAAGATTACAGAAAAAAAGATTTTGAAATTCAGCTAAATACAGAAATCAGCCCATTTTAAGTTTATTTCCCAAATTATTCACAAATACCTCTATCTAAATTGTTTAGGTTTTATATTGCTCTGAATACAGTATACATATGGATATCACAGGGATTGTCTCAAAAAGCAAGTTTAACATGCTAGCAATTTGTTACGAGGGTTTTGAAATAGAGAATACCTTAATATGTACAGTTGTATGTGATGTGCTGGCATGAATTGTTTATTACAGGTTTTTAAACTGCAAAAAGAAATTGATGAGGAATCTGAAAATAAAAATGAGTTGACAAAGGTGCTAGAGGAATCAATTGACGTAGCTCAGAAGGAATTGTTACGACATCAAATTAAAAAATCTGATGAGAAAGTAGAAGCCATGATGATGGTGATGTTGCATTACTGTGCAGGACTTCAGTATTGTCTGGACCAAGAACAAGAAGAGAAGCAGAGAAAAGCCAGCACTGATCTGTCGTCTGCTGGCCATGATAAAGGTGATCATGAGGATCAGCCAGTCAAAGAGAGAAAAGACAGTGAATTAAAACCTTCCAAGGGTTTGAAGACAGAGGGAGATCCAAATTCCTATCCTTCTATATCAGTGGAAGTTGCAAGCTCCCCAGAAGAAGATATGGAAGACTTAACAATGTTTCCTGAGATGGAAGATGACTCAATGCACAAGGAAAATGCTTCTTGTTTGGAGCAAGATTCTGGAAGTTCTGTTCAACTGCAGGGGGAAAGTATTTTAAAGTCAAAAAAGACTGACAATCAAAAAAGATTTTACTCCACTGACAATGATGCTTTTGCATCACTGAAGCACCCAGAGGAATTTGTGGATGAAGAAGACATTCTAGCAGATGTAATTAACACTGTCACAGAGATCATTGAAAAGTCTGAAGGGGAGACAGATTCTAGTGACTTTGAGGATACAATAAAACATTCCACTAATTGAACTGATATTTATTGCTAGATACATGTACAAAAAAATTATCCACTGATTAAAGTGATTGCTTTCTCTGTTAACATTGATGTGTTAGAAATGGTTATGTTGACATTGCAAAGTCAGGTATACATTTCCTTGTTATGAATTATAACTTCATGTGCTTTATGTGACACAAAGGGTACCAAAATAAGGAGACAACACTTATCACATTATAATGGTGAACCTCCAGGGAAAAGTTGGAGTTGCTTCATTAAATCTCCATATTCTTCTACAAATTAATATTTTAACATATATTGTGTAGGACAAAAATGACTGTCATAAACTTCTGTTTACTATATAAGCCTATTTGCTTAAAAATTACATAACTGACCTTCAGTTTTTTTAAAATTTTAAATAGCATCTAAGAAATATCTGTGTTTAATTGTTTGTGATTTTAAAAGCTTATTGTGATATAGGAATTGTGATTTAATTAACAGCCATACTGTAGCTCTCTGGAGGACCCAAAGTTTAGGATTGGTTTGCAATTCTTAAAGCCTGTTAATTAGATTTTAATGAAAAACATCATTTTAACAAATTCACTTGATAAGCAATTGTAATTTTGATTAAGGTTAATCATTTTCTATATGGATTCTCGCACAATTCTATATATTTGAAATTTTTTTAAGTAGTATTGTTTGGAACCAGTTGAAAATTTTTTTAAACACATATATAAAAAAACTTTGATTAAAAAAGTCTAAAACGAAGCTGATATAACATCTGTTTGGTTATCCACAGAGTTTAAGAGAGTTACTTATGGTTTTCAAACATTTGATAACTGTTTGAATTTTCATCTAATATGTTTGAAGCATTGGGACTCCAAGGCGAAATCATATCTACTTCAGTCATAGAAGCTCAGTATTATATATAATTTTTCTATATCATATAGTTTATTTTTACCTCATCATTCTTTAACATTTAAAGTACTTCAAATACTCACATTCCATAAAGATTTGTACAAACTCCGTAAGTATGTACTTAATTATTATTGTTGATTTTATGCATGCATGTTCATATGTAATGTGTTCTTTCTAAGAATTCATTTTATTGTGATAGTCATGTGAATTTGAATTGCTTCAAAAATGGTTTCTAATGTAATTTTGTACTCACTGCCAATTTTATTCAGATAAAGAGTGCAATACACTGTCAGAGAGATAAAACTAAATTTGATTTCATAACTTAGAAGAAAAATCAATATTCAAGACAAGATTTTAAAAAAAAATTATTTATTTTGTCTACTGTACCAAAGATTTCATACCCACCTGCTGTTAAATGTATATAGACAATGTCTAAGTATTATTTTTTTTGATTAATTTGAAAGCAGAAATGTCTACGTTATGTTATTTTAGACAAATTTATGAAAATATTTGATGAGAAAGATTTGACAGCTTTATATGTGTCTCCCATCATACCGTTTAAAGTGTGCAGTATACTTAAGTTTTAGAATAAGAAAGCCAAAATTTTAATTTTCTACATGAAAAAGGTGGCAAAAATGAACAGTGATCGATCTTAAAAAGCATATAAACAATACAAAGCTTTGAACAGAGCATAAAATTGTACTAAATCCTGGAATTTTCCGAGGTGGGATCAGGTGCCTAGGATTAGTAAACATCTCCGGTTATATTTGCTAATATGTCATTATAACAACCAAATCATAAATCTGTTTTCATGTAAAGGTTTCAGGTATGTTAAAATAGTCATTCAGTAATTGCTGGGATGTAGATGGCATATCATCTACCAGATTGTGTCTGGAACAAAAGGAGTTAGAATTTCCTGTCACAACTTTTAGATGAATAAGATGAAAAAAGTATTCAAACATCATAGAAGTTAAATTATAATAATAATAAAAATCTTTTGTAGAATTTTTTTTCTTCAAAAAATCAGAAAAGGAAAAAGGGGATGTTTTTCAGCCCTAATTTACATTTGTTTATTAACAGGTATTTCTCTTTATGATATTATACCCATACATTTATCTAATTTTATTCACTAAATTGAACCAAAAGTTGACAAATGTCCACAAACTATGATTTGTTGTAAGATTCCAGATGATTAAAAATGTATAATGTATGTCAACTAGATTGGATCACACATATACATTTCTGATATATTTTTTTCTTGCTTAACCAGAAACTATCAGTGCTTTGTAAATGTATTGCTATATGACTGTCAATGATTATGTAATAAAACAATATATTTACTTCAATGCAAAAGTGATTAAAACCTATTGGGATTTGAACCTCAGTATGCTTATACCTTTCACTTGTTAAATGTAAAGCAATTCTGGTTGCAATTTTCCTATTGGATATTTTTGTTGTAAAATTGTAATTAAGTATCTATTGCGGTAAATGACAGCAAAAAAATATTGTTTATGAACTTCTGTTATTGATGTTTGGGTTGGAAAAATTCTTATTACAGAACATCTGATTAAAGCAAAATTAAACATCTTTCATCCTGTACAAGAAAAAACTTTTATAGGATACTGTTAATACAATCCAAAGTATAGAAACATTTCTTCTGATAATTAATGATATAGTGCTTCATATTTTTTGTGATAAGAAAGGATAACATTAAATGCAGTTTTATCAATTAAAAATAAATTTGTAGTTAAATGTTGCTTTATTCACATTTTCATAAAGTTACATGTAAGTCATGCATATCACCCCCTGGATTTTTCTCTCTAGTTGTTTTTCAGTCTATTGATATTACACTTTGTGCAATATTAAAATCTTGTTTTTGCCTGTTGTGTTTACAAATTATCTGACTACAATTTGTTTACTGTGTGGGTGTCACTTGTATGTATGTGTGTACATGTAATATAGAAAGACATGCTTTTTGATGTAATTTCTTTTTTGTTTGTATTTTTTTCTGTCCTCGTTTTTCGATTGGATTCAATTGATATATTACTGGAAAATTAATCAGAATTAAAACATTCCTTTATATGACTGCGGACCTCTGTTGTGGTAGTAACTTTTTTTGCACTGTTGTTAATTATGTTTTATTTCTGTTTTAAATGTATGGTTCTTTATTCAGAGTTACAGGGAAATGCTGAATGTTTTTTTACGTGAATTTCCTGTCTGTCTCACTTTTATTAAGAATGTGTCTAGTTTTATTTTTAATGCTCCTGTAATCGAAGATTCGGGAGCATATAGTTTTTGGTCTGTCTGTCTGTTTGTCTGTCTGTTAATATGTTCCACTGTTTGTTCACAGAAACTTAAACCTTGCCTTTAACCTTTGAAAGGTTGGTGCTAAGGCTTTCATTTTTCATTTGTGTATTCTTTGTGACAAGACTTTTCTTTGGGTACTAACATATGTGAACTCTTGACCTTTGAGTTTGAAACACTTTTGGAAAATTTTACCAAAATTTAATCTTGGCCGTTTGGTGCTAGTATTTTTATATTTCACGAGTATATTGCACTTGACTAAATCTTCTTTGGGTACCAACATTTTTGACCTTGGAGTTTAACCTATAATTTTTCAATGGTTGGTGCCAGGGCTTTTATATTTCTCTTATGTATTCTTGTGTTAGGACCTTTCCTTTGGTGTGAACATTTTTGACCTCATGACCTTGAGTTTAAGGAATGACTTACCTTTGAGAAGTTTAATCTTGGACATATTTTGTGTAATGTTGGGCATATTATCTAAAGGGTGGGTGTAAGGGATTTCACATGTGTATTCCATATGGCAAGATCATATTCTTTTTGAACCAACATTCTTGAATCTTGAGATTTGACCTACATCTGAAAAACTTTTACTTGAAATACGGGGGGCATCAGTGTTTCACACACACATTCTTTCTTTAATTGCAAAACGTGTATTTTTTCATGTTGAATTTCCTTATTTATTCCACAAGTATGTTTGTCATATTATGTTAATAAACAATAACAGACATGATAAATGTATGAAAATAATTATATCAGAAACATGAAGGTACGAGACGGCAGTAATGTATTTTTTATTCCCCAATATATATATATAAAATATAGTTACAGATATACAATGACTGCAACTGATTGCAAGGTAATTAACCTTAAGAGATATCATATGAGGAAGTAAGAGTCGGAGTACACGTTTTATGCTGCGTATTATTTTTAGGGAGGTCAACGAATAGTCGAATATTCGACTATCAGTCGAATGGATCGACGATCGAATAATGAAACGGCATTCGAATATTATTATAATTTAATAAATGCAATAAATGAGTGATAGGAAATGGAATTCTCATCAAAAAATTGAGAAACCGTCTTTCCTCAGAGGCAGTCGATAAGATAATTTTCCTCAACATGAAAACGGTAACCGTTGATGTACGTATAGAAAAGTACAGTAATTATATTAAGTGCTACTACTGCGATAATTATTTGTCAGTAACTGCGTGTGTTTTTGTAATAAATTACCAACCCAATATACTGGGCTGTGTTTGTTAAATTATCAATTGGACTTGATCTGATACCATGTACCAATTATCTTTTATTCTAAGATTGCTCAAATGCAAGGAATAAACCTGTTTTGACACTCCTCGATAATTATTGTAACAATTCGCTTACATGTTGAAATTAAAGGACAGTGAAAATTGAAATTTTCAGAAAACGTTCCGAATATTCGACTATCCTTCGAATAATGTAATCGAATAAGCGACTAAGGAAAATGAATATTTGACATCCCTAATTATTTCTCTTGAAAATTCACATAAAGTTCACATAATTTATCTAGCATGTAGTGGACAGAAATATCCTACCATAGTATGTGTAGTATCCTTCAAGTATAAGTATAATTACAACTTATAATAAAACAGATATAAACATTCTAACTCCGAACATTTTAGCTCACCTCAGCGAAGTTGGGGAACTTATTCAATACCGTCGGCGTCCCAGGTTAAAGTTTTTGGAGCAGATTTCTTTTACTTTTATGCCCTATATTAAACAGAGTGCGTGGAGGATGCTTTTAGTGTGTTTCATTGTATCAGACAAGGTTTCAGATGCTGCAATTTAAGCTAAAGAATAATCAGGTTAGTTTTTGGAGCAGGTTAAAATTTTTTGGAGTGGGTCTCACTTCCAAGTAACCATTAGCCCTATGGTGACCGAACTTGCATGGATGATTCATCACGCAATGCATACTACTAGACTTGCTTAGGATGCTGGATCTGACCTCCATTTTCCGGATGACTGACCAGGTTAAAGTTTTTTTTAGCAATTCCATTACCAAGAAGCTATAAGACCTTTCTGAACCAAACTTGCAAGTACGATACATCTAAGGATAAAAATTCTCAAACTTGCTTCATATGCTAGATTTGACTTACATTTTCTGGATGAGTGACTAGTTAAAATTTTTTAGATAAGTCCATTCACAAGTAACTGGAAGCCCTATCAGACCAAAATTGCATAAATGTTGAATCTAGGGATGCACGCTACTAGATTATTAGTTTAGTGTGGGACTTTGCTTTCCTTAAAGACAACATTCGTTGAGGTAGGCTCTGTAATCTCTGGTTACCTTTGTTTTAATTATTGGACATAACTCTATTTTACGCGATATAAACCATTGACTTTAACGACCTGAACCAAAGGTATAATTCCGGTCCAACACTTCATGAGAAAAAAAATGAACACCCCATCCTAAATGATTTTAAATTTCTGTATAGAGATCACCATCCTAGGTGCACGCTTTCACTTTGTGGCCCGAAAATGATAGAACCAATTCTTATCAAATTGATTAGCCCAAGTCAATTCTTTCTCTTAATTAAGTACGCACATGTATAGCTGCACTGCGACTAAAAGTTCTGTTTTAGTGGTAATTTTCAATGAATTATTACATGTATATATATGATCCTTTTACCTCACCTGAGATTCATTAAACTCTATAAAGCCCCCCCCCCCCCGCCCAATATACATGTATATCCATGCAAAGAATCTGTCAATAAGGTTCAATGCGGAAGGGGGAAGGGAAGCATATGTTTAAAGTTCCTCAATACGCTGATAAGAGAGAGAGATTCATGCAACACTCACTGTGATATAAATGACTATTATTCATTTATAAAATTGTCCAGTTAACGGGTTATTCTCTTCAAATTTTGACCGCTGCAAGGTTTTCTGAAATTGTGTGCATTTTAATTAAAATTTTTTTACATTTCTTTTTGAAAATCGTAAGCTTTAAGGAAAAATTTACGAGTGAGCAGAGGGAATATGAACGTGAAAGACTTAAAACTTTTTTTTTAATTAACCTAACTCTCGGTAAACAGCAAAGGGACATGTAAATACAATTATAAATTGCTCTGAGTGATGATGTAGCTACATAAAAAGGAATTCTTTAAAAACAACAACAACAATGTAAGGAATTGATTGAATAAATTGTCGATTGTCAATTATAGGAATGCAGCCCCATGCATTCAGGCGAAAAACCCTTCTTGATGAGATACGAAGGATCCTTTACGAGTAATGAGCAAAAAGATGATGAGCAAACATCGAGGTAAGATAGATAAGCGAAGATTAGGGATTGTCACGGAACTAAATTATGATTTATGGATAAAATTGTTCAGGTACACACAAAAATGAAATTCTCTCAGAATTGGTTGAATGTTGCATAATTTTATTTTCGGCACTGAGTGATTAAATTACCTTGATCTGTTTGATTTAATTATTGTGAGTACTGAATGTTGTGTGTATGGAAAACTATGAAATTTATCTAATAAATTTTTAGAAGCTGTTACAAATGGAGAGGATGTTGGTGCCCATGTGGTCAAAATGGGATTTTGTCCCTCATCCAGATCCAACCACCTGCCCAATCCATACAGTCAGGTATCATCTATCTGCAAGTCTAATTTTGAAGCTCAATAAGTATACAAGAATAGATTTAATGCTTTTTATTCTTTTCATCTGCAGAAAACATAATACGAGAAGTAGACAAAATTCATCCTCCAAATATTTATATATTTCATGCACAGCAATATTATGGAGAAAATAACTTGCCGTTTTAATTTTTGCTATATTTGTGATGTTCACTGAACTGTCAATTCAGAAACTGTGAAATACTGAGTTTTTAAGCTTAGGACAAACTATTTTTTTTATTTTGTGAAGAACTGCGAACTATAGTATTGTTCCGCTATTTCAAAGTCAATTTTGCATTGAACGTTTAAGATCATATAATACAAAGGAACATTAACTGGCAAGATTGGAAATATGCACTTACGTGATTTCCATCTGTTACAGTCAAAAGACAATAAATTGAGCGGGAACAATTCGACACGGACGTCCGAGAAAATATTGAATCTTGGGGAAAAAAAGAGAATTGTCAAAATTGTCCAAACTCGAAAAATCCTATGGGTGGGAGTTACGTTACAACTTACTTTCACAACTAAATTTTAACAATACATTACCAAATTTCCATGATTTAACAATACTACAACAAAAAAAGGCGGGGGAGGGGGGGGGGGGGGGAAGAATCAGCCTTTCAAAGAAAATTTTTAAATAGTAAAAAGTCACGTTTAGAAAAAAAAAAGGGGGGGGCTACCCCCCCCCCCCGATTCTACGTGCCTGCAAAAGACAAATAATTTCAATTCCCAAAGACATGTAGTTTGAAATCAATGTATATCAGAGATTTTTAGGACACCCAAACTTTGTATAAGATAGATATTTTTTTTCAGGGGACATTTGATTCTATAGGTGGGGAGGGAGTGCAAATCTTGTCGAGTCAGTTATTTTTGTTAATCTTCACCTGGCAGATTATATATTCATTTCTAGGGAAAAAAGAGATGTTTTTTTTCTTCACTATAAATGTTTGACAAGCAAAAACGGGGAGGGGGTGTCGAAACTATAAAAAAAAACTTTCTTATTTCCTAGACCTTTCAGCCCCCCCCCTCCCCCTTCACCAAACAAGAATCAAATTTTTGTCCGATTTTATTTCTTTAAAAACAATTGACAGAAAAATCTGATTTGTATATATGTCAAACTATTCCAAAATCGAAATTATTTGTCTTATGGATCAATAAGTAACACTGTTCTTACGAGTGTAGCTCGATTGAAAATGAATTTAGAACTAGAAATTCAATCCGATGTTTTCATAGACATCCACACGGAATTGTACCCGCCCATATCATTGTCTCTCATCAAATGTTTTTACTCTAATAGATGGAAATATGACGTAAGTTGCATATTTTTAATCTTGACAGTTAATGTTCCGCGGTCTTACAAGTTTTTTGGGAACTGACATTTCAAGCCATATAGGGTTGTTTGGAACTCTTAAACGGTAAATAAAGTATCTGGAATATACGATGGCCGATATCAGCCATGTCATTCTACAGTTAAATTAAGTGTAGAATGTCAGTGCTATGTACAGTTTGCTTTGTCAGGTTACTCATTGCTTGAGTAAAGTGTACAAGGTGTACACCAAGATTTCAACGCTGTCACGGCACTCACATTGCTCGGAAGATGTGAATTGTATACATGTGTTATTAATTGACGGTTTACTCCTATCTGCAATTGAAATTCTTCAAAAACATAAAAACAAATTCCTGGAAACAGCGGTAGGGACACAAAGGGTGCAACAAAATAAAACTTCTTGAGTTTTTGTGTTGATTAACAGAAGGATAATATATCAAACTTTCCCTACAAGTATAATTATATATATATATATATATATATATATATATATATATATATCACTTTCTTTTAAATTTATGTGATTAACAAATTTAATTAAAACTTGTCATATACTTGCAGAGTAAGGGCGTATTAAGTTTTTAGAACTTGTGCACACTCCCTTCTTACTTAAAAATAACAAAAATTTGTTGAAATTAAATCAGATTTGTAGGATTGATACACATTTGTATACATGTATTTTATCTTAATTGAGTGATATGACAAAGAAGCAAATGATAACTAGGTATACGTGTATACTGAATTATCGAATCTTTCAGACAACCTATTTAACATCAATGTTGCTGCACATTTAAGAAGCAACTAATTAATTGACAAACATTAATATATTTGAAAGGTACATGATCGTACTCTGCATTTTAGGGGAAAACACATCATTAAGAGTTGAAACGTCTCATTAAAAAAATTGAAAATGATATATTCCTAAGAAATAATCATTCTCAGAAATTACAACAAATGCAAATTTTGAATTTTTTTTTTACGACGGAGGGTGTCAGTCAGTCATTAAGGAATTTTAAACCGTCAATATTTCATTTCAAAGAAGAATGGGGACAGTAGCAAACAAATATTCTTCTAAATATAATAGGTTTAGCCTTATATATCTTTTTCCTACCAAAGGTTTTCTCTTTCATATGAAAACTTTATTGCCTCCTTGACCATACTTTATGCTCATACTGCTGTTTCCAGATGTAGGAATTTGTGTTTTATGTTTTTGAAGAATTTCAATTGCAGATAGGAGTAAACCGTCAATAACACATGTATACAATTCACATCTTCCGAGCAATGTGAGTGCCGTGACAGCGTTGAAATCTTGGTGTACACCTTGTACACTTTACTCAAGCAGTGAGTAACCTGACAAAGCAAACTGTACATAGCACTGACATTCTACACTTAATTTAACTGTAGAATGACATGGCTGATATCGGCCATCGTAGGAATAGGAGTCAAATATTACTCTCTGTCTTTACAAGTAACATATGAAGGATAGTTATTAAACTTTCCATTTCATTTATTCCCTTGCTGCTGAAAATGAGTTGTCTCTTCTACATTTCAAATCTTATGTACCATTCAGCCACTAACTTTATAAACCATGCTAATAGTCCATGTACTATGATTTCAAGACATTCTTTTGCGTTGAATTCCTCTGTGTAATATAAAGTCTATAATTTCTATGATGGATAGAAAGCTGGCTCCTAGAAACAGGCCCATGGTTCCCCCGATGTCACCTTCAAAAATGAAATCACATAATTATAATAGCTGGTTAAATGGTTAACAAACCACAAGAATATCAAAACTATTCCATGGAGAAATCGGTTTTTTTACCGGACTTTAACAAAAGTACAAATTGATTTTGGTCATAATTACATGGAGTATAGATGTCTGGTAATTGAAAATGACAAAGATCTTCATTATTAGACAGAGATCTCCTGTGACGTCAGGGTTAGACGAGAGGAGTTCATTTTTTTGATTAAAAAAGTTTCTACAGACTTATGCACGTCATTTTGACTCCAGGCAATTTCATTTATTGTAATGAACAACACTAACATTAATTTTTAAACATCCAATGGGAATCATGCAAGGTTAACCCCCGCTGGGGTGTTATATATAATTACATAAATAATGATTTTATGCACGGTGGATTAAAATTTTGCAAGAGTCACAAATAGATTTACCTAATGCAAGGATACTTTCATGTTGTCATAATGAGCGTAGACCGAGAAAGTATACGAATCATTCAAAGTTTTGCCAATTGGAAATGTAAGAAATATAAATAGCTTAATTAATACATCGATTTCCATTTGTAGAACAAATTAAAAAAAAAGAAATAAAAGATAGTTTGAAAATGTTTTATGTGAAAAGGTTCACTACATGCAATGCTTCTCATAAACCAGGACTGTATAGCAGGTATTAGTATATGATACTGAAAATGAAAATCACATAACTGTATGTAATAATGTAACTAAAGCCTACTTACACCATAGTGAAAACATGCTGTAAGCAACTTGTTGATGTATTTTTTCGTAACTCATCTCTCGATAAAAAATATTTATCTGCAGAAGGTTGTCCCTGTAAAGTAATAATTCTTTATTTTAAAAAAATCGGTTAACGAAAAACGATAAACGAAAAAAAAACCCAACTGATTTGCGTAAAAATTAGATACCTAATAAAATTGCTATCTATCTTCAAAGAAGTCTTAAATTCTTTCATATGTTCTACGATGCTTTTGAATGTAGATAAGAGCTGGGCGTCGCTGCTTCCTATCACATCGGAAAATCTCACATAGTCTAAAATAGCTGTGAAGCTTTCATTCAAATCGGTTGTAACTTCTGTTAAGTTGGTTAAATATTCCGTTTTATTGACGAACTCGTAATATTCCCAAGAATCTTCGTCATTTATAATATTCTCCCATATATCTCTCGAAATAAACTGCAGTCTACTTATCCAGTCTGTGAGGGACGTTTGTCTGTTTTTTAACATTTGAAAATAAAATTGGAATTCTGTAAGAATGCTGTCTGTTGTGTTAGAAAGAAACACTTGTGCTACATCCAGTTTTGTTGCATTTGCACTTAAGTATTGCTCCAAGTTACGATCCATGTTTTCTATCGGTTTCAACACATCTTCATCAAAATCAGCGTTTTCAGAATGTATTGAGTATATACTTTGATTGAGGTTTTGAAATACCAACTGAAATTCGTTCCACTTTAATTCAAAGTGTTCAAGTTTCTCTTCAAGTATCCGTTTAGGCCTATCTATAATTTCATAGTAGAATAAACTTCGTGCAAACACCCAGTTTCGCATGGCATGTCGAAAGTCCTCCACACAAAGCCCTAATTCTGTATCATTAAGCATTCCGTAGTAATAAGCGACTACTGCCAAATTTTTGCATAGGTTTAATGCTTTCACTGTGCTATTCAAATGTCTTTCATATCGTTCTGTTGATTGATTTGCATATAAATTGTGATTTAAAGAATCTTTCATTAATTTTTTAGGCGCTGCAGGGTTATTGTGATCCCGTGGTGTGTCCATGAATTGATAATTAAATATTTTCTCCCCTAAATTGTAAGCATCTTTTAAAGATGTATAGTTCACCATGACTCTCTCGATGATTTCAATTCTACTGTCTATCTTATCCATCAAATTTTCATAGAGAAAAAGTCGAAAAGAATCATTCTGAAATTTTGCATCTGTGAGTTTTCGAATCGTTTTCTCGATTTGTAATATAAATTCTGCATATGCCAGCGGTACAATGTGCATGTGACGCTCTTCCATTGCATCACGTGCCCTCATAAAATTTTTCTCCATTATGTATATTTGGAATTTGTATAGATAGTCCTTAAAGTTGAAATGTCTCTTCATATCTTTGTACATCGTGTTCGTCTTTTTCATTAAATGATTAACCATTTTCACAAGCCTATTGTACACATACGATGCTTGTTCAGTATTTGTTGTTAAGTTGGTGTAAAAATTCTTCACTTTCGATATTTTTGAATCTTCATATCTAGATGTGACTTCAGTTGCTTTTAAGAGAGCGGCAGCCAATTTAGAGGTATCATTAGAAGACAAATATTTTCTGAGATTGTAGTCCGACGTTGTACCATATGATAAGTCTGTTTCGAACACCCGGAACTTACATGAAACGGGACAAGAACATAGTTTATGAAATAATGTTGGAAACGTTTCTGTAAAGAGAACAAAAAATAAAAAGTGAACTTTTTCTTCGATGATATTTGAATTTATATATTCTTGATTAATTCAATTTAAAAAAAACCCACTAACACACCTATGACGTTTTTAAGACACCCATAGTACTGATCTAGTCTGCACACTGGTGGTTCGCCTGAAATTAAGCAAAATTGATGACTGTAAAAAGTAATTATTAAAAAGAATAAATACAAAGCAACATATTAACCTTTTTAATTGATGTAAGAAATACCTTATATAGAAAAAAAACCGGATATCATTACGTTTACTACTTGCAATATCAGTGAAATGAATGGTTACGTTGTTTCAGTAATACAATTCATTTCTGAGTACCATTTTTATGAGGCATGTACAAGGCCCGGCAACCACAGATTTTCTTGGCTCTTTTCGTCAAGCAGTCTAAACGGCAGGCATCAGTACTGTAGGTATCTATGTACTCCAACGCCTTCTCATGACAAGTACCGTGAGGTTCTGGAAGGTTCTCCAGCTACAACAACAAGCATTTAATGTTGCTATCTATTTTATAAAGGTCTATCAGCTTTTGATATTTTTTTTTATTTTAATAAACATTAGAGAATAATAAAAAGCAATAAATATCAATAATGCTTGTGGATAAAAGCAATACAAAACAGGATGTTTATTCAGTGAAGAAACTAAGTAAGTGTACATCAGGTAACATGGAAGATATTTTATATAAGAAAACATTTACAAAAAAAAATTGTTAATTACATTTATACTACAAAAAGCCTCATTTGCTGAGGTAAGTAAATTAAATATAATAGACAAAAAATATCACAACGATACAGTGTTAGATGTATGTATTGCTTTGATATTAAGTATTCAAAGAAACAAAATGGATTAAATACATAATTGATAATTATGAAAATTTTGTTTCATTTTCAGTATTTACCTCTATGACTTTCATTCCCACAAAGACCCTGGACCCGGGTGAAATGGCCTGACCTAGAGCGTGTACCATTGGAATATCCTTGTGGTCGTGTATGAGCATTTTTATTCCTGCCGCGTCGTGGGGACCCGGCATGTACTCATACTGCTCAATGTTTAGAGTCAGACGAAGGCCATTCTCAATACCTGATTGGAAACAAGAAAGTCAAGTTCTTTTAAACATGTCAGATGTAAGTTATGAAAAGATAAAGAATTAAACACTGATTGACCAAGAGTCTAATCAAGATAGTGTTCTAGGTGTATCTTTTATCTTTTAGAGATATGTTACATATGATATTCTATTTACTAATGTGAAACAAAATAACCAGTATTTAAAAGAAAATATTTGAAAATATTTTCTTTTTACACTGTATGACAAAAATAAGAATGGGATTTATCGAAAAAGTAAACGGAGTTTAGATCAATTAAGTGAGTCGATAATGTTTCTGATGCTATATACCTCCTCTATGGCACCTGATCCCACCTCTGAAATTTTTAGAGGTCCTGTTTTCTTTCCTCACAATTTGTACTGTCTAAATGCCTTCTGAGCTTGATTACTGTTCGTTATCTTTATATTTCAATTCAAAACTGTCAATTATTATTTTAAGAATTAAACATGGTAAGGAGGAATGTTACACAAAAATTTTAATCAAGGGATCTTTACGACGTGTCTGTTGAAATATGGAAAGGTTAATATTAGCTGCTAATTACTAGTATTTTATATGATTTTATTTTTTTTTTTCCCGAGAAAGTGCAAAGACTTTCTTACAAATTTTATCCATAGGTTTAAAAATATTAAAAAAATTATATTTTTTTATATCAAAAATTATTTTTAATGAAAAAATTACAAAAGTCTATGTGGCTCTTCGTAACATATTTTATTAGATATTCCTATTGTGCATTTATTAACCACAAATTTAAAACTCTTAATCATCTCATTTGCAAACAAAACAATTTTTATATTTTTTTTCAAAAAATACAAAACAGAACCTATAAAATAATTAAGAGCTATATCAATTTTCCCCTGATTAAACCAGATTTCAAAAGAGAAGTCTTAAAGATCCATGATATAAAATGGTGGTGTAGCATTCCACCTTATAACAAGAAAAGATTGTAAGAACCTCTGCAAAACTAACGCCACAAAAAACCTAAAAAGAAAATGTCTTTAAAACTATTACCTGGAGAAGAAACTCTCTCATTGTTGCTTTTAAAAGTATAACAGACGCCATGATCTGTGACGTATTGTTCAAAGTCGTCTGCTGTCAATGTCTGGCCCATCCACACTATCCTGTTAAATGAAAAAGACGTAATGCCGATAATTTGATGCTCCTGCCTCAAATGATATTTCTTATGCTGTAAACCAAATATTATTCGCGACTTGTTAGTTTGAATCAATTCACGATGATTAATTTTCGCCGAAAGAATAATTCAACATATTAACACATTTATATAAAACAAATTGATTATTAAGTTTGAGAACAATTTATTATAAAACAATCCATATTGGACACTGGGGACTGACAACGTTTACAGCTAAAATATTCAATTATCAGCTAAATAAATACTGAACAATCAAGAATAAATTACATCTTGAATTTGACATATACTGTAAAACATGAAATATACACTCTGCAATGAATGTTAAACATAATTACAAGATTAAACATAATTAAACATAATTACACAGTGAAATAAATAGGACATGCGAAAATAAAAGTTTACAGACGCAGAAATTAGAGATTGTTGAATAAAGTGTCTGTGAGCTTTTGAATATTATAATGTAAGTGAGTACGATGATTTTTTTTTGTTTTTTTAATAATGACAAATTCTTGCAAATATACTGTACTTGGGTACTTTTTCTCCGTTTTACTTTCACTTTGGCAAACTTGCAAACGATTTGGTCCCGCATCTGTTTTAAAGGACAGATGACCCTGTCTCTGTTGAATTCGTCCCGTTAACATGATCAAATATGATCTCAGAGTTAATCCACAGGCATCAATATTACAACATTGTACATAGCTTTGTAACAATTAAAATATAGTTCTTTTGTCTTCCTTACTTGAATAAGAAGTCTTTGCGTTTATGTGCTCCTTGTAAATAGAGATCCTTCAGAGTTGTATTCTCCGCTAAGTATTTCTTAAGACTCTCTGAATTAAAATTTTCAGGTTCAGTAAACATGTCTTCAATCAATTTATACCGGCCTGCTGCAGCTGCAAAAGTAGCCCTGAAAAGAACGACAGCCAATCATATGTGTAGGAAAATACGCAAGTGCTTCCATATCATTTTCAAAAAGAAAGAAAGAAAAACAAAGAAATAAAGAAAAAAGAAAACTATTAACTGATTAAAAGAAAGAAAAGTACTTATTTATTTTTCTATCTATAAACTAAAAATATATATGTTTTATTGTTTTTAGTTTAATATTACAAACAGTTGTGATATACATCTTATTCTCAGCTTTTATAGCAATACATTTTTTGTTAATAATTCGATATCCATAAGTTGAAAATAATTATAAATTTACAGTAAACACTTGGTATAAAAGGGATTTCAAATGTTTCTCTTACTTTGTGTACTTGCATAGTAACAATGTCATACAATTATAGGGCTAAGAATAAACAAGAGGCCCACCTGAGTATAATACAACAATTTACAGGATCCATAGAGTATAAAATGAACTGAAAGGTGAAGCTTTGTTGCCCAAAAGCAAGAAAAATAGGGTGATCAGGATCAACAAAATAATTAATCTAGTATTCATTGACAGTTTATAAATAAGGTTCTAATCTGGTCCCCATTTATCACTTTCACTATACAGTATATTAAAAAACTATCAGTGCTTCTGTACTATTTTAATTTCTTGTTGAAATCTCTGACATTGGCCTCTCTTGGTCTTTGATGAGCATTTAATAAGACAAGTTATTTTTGTTCCATTTTTATTTATCTATTACTTGCAAGTTTACCTGATCATTAAAACTATGAAAATACTTTTTGTATTATACAATAAAAACTCTTGCATAATTCTCTTATTCTATTTACCTTTCAAGTACATTGTTTACAGTGATTAATTATAAGAAGTAAACGGCAAAGGGGAATAACTCCTCTCAGTAGAATACAAATTAATAGAGCCCTGGCCAGGACCAGAACACTTGACCAAATGGTCCAGATGTTCAAAAATCCGGTAAAAATACCCCTCCTTATTAAAACTTTTCATCTTTTTGCCTCTGATATGCCCAAGTGCAGAGAAAATTTTTAAAGAAATAATGCATTTTTACTACAGATTCACTATATCATCAATAGAGCCCCCCCCCCCCTCCACACCGAGAAACTCTAGAGTCTCTCACCATGTGACCAGAAGTTTGGTCATCATAAGTAATCACTTTGTTTATCTGCTTAACACTAAGGAGCATGCAGACAGGATTATTTAATAGAATTAATGCATTTTCACTATATTATCAAGAGCCCCACCCTTACACCAGCACATCTGACCCGGAGTCATGCAATTCACTACTCTGGAAGAAGCACTCTTGCTCATCATAACTATTTACTTAGCTTCTTTGCTTTTTAACCAGAAGCAGAAAAGAATATTTTCAAAGAAATTTTGCTTTTTCACTATATAATCAATAGACCCCCCCCCCTTTTCACTAGAACCCTTGACCCTGGGGCCATGAAATTCACAATTTTGGAAGAGGCATCCGTGCGTATCATAACAATGTACTTAGTTTGTTTAAATAGTACACAGCGGCAGAGATGAAGATTTTCAAAGAAAAAATTCACCTTCACTATAGGATTTAGCCCCACCCTAGAACCAGAACCCCTGTCCCTGGGGAAATGAATTTCACAGTTTTGGAAGAGGCATCATTGCTTATCATAACAGTATACTTAGTTTGTTTTAAAAATACCCAAGAGCAGAGAAGAAGATTTTTAAAGCATTAATGCATTTTCACTTTATAATAAATAGAGCCCCGCCCTAACATCAGAACCCCTGATCTAGGGGTCATGAAATTCACTATTTTGGAAGAGTCACCCTTGCTTATCATAGCTATGTTTTTAATTTGTTTCAATAATACCCAGGAGTAGAGAAGAAGATTTTCAAAGAATTAATGCACTTTCACTATATGATCTATATAGCCCCACCCTATAACCAGAACCCCTGCCTCTGGGGCCATGAATTTCACAATTTTGGTAGAGTCACCCTTGCTTATCATAACTATGTTTTCAATTTGTTTCAATAATACCCAACCAGGAGTAGGAGTAGAGAAGAAGATTTTCAAAGAAATAATGCACTTTCACTATATGATCTATATAGCCCCACCCTAGCACCAGAACCCCTGACCCTGGGGCCATGTATTTCACAATTTGGGTAGAGGGCTCTATGCTTATTACAATCATGCCAACAGTTTGACTGCTTGAGGTCCAGGAGTAAAGAAGAAGATTTTTAAAGATTGCATTAATTTTGGTGGTTTTAGCCCTACCCCTCAGGCCCAAGGGGGGGGGGGCAGGGACCATGATATTCACAAATTATGTTCCCCTTCACACATAGATGCCATATTCTAAAATTGGCTGAAATTGGTTCAGCGGTTTCAGAGAAGAAGCTGAAAATGTTCAAATGTTAACACACGACGCACGACGGACGACGACGGACGAAAACAGATAGCAATAGGTCACCTGAGTGACTCAGGTGACCTAAAAACACACAACTCCTTGGATGAAAATCCTATTCCATCATAAACCAAGACCACTTTCTACATTATCGAAAGTTTAATGAGATAATATTCATTTTAAACGTAGAAGTTCAAACTAATTCACTGTAAATCTACTTTTCTGGACACTCAAATTTAGCTGTCAGAAAAGCTGAAAATTCTCCAGCATCTATAGAGGACGTCGCTCCCAGTGAGACTCCAACCAGTAGAAATTATAAAATCAGCATTTTAAACGCTGAAATGCAACTTGTTCATTTTAAATCTCCTTTTCTAGACACTCAAGGATAGTTGTCAGAAATGCTGAAATCCACCAGCTTCTAGGGAGCTTCGCCCCAAGACCCTATGAAATTCCATGATAAAATCAACAATTTATATGTTTACAATCAGAGCAATTCATTTTAAAATCACCTTTTCTTGAAAAGAAATAAAAATTTGCTGCCAAAAATGCTAAAAAATTCACCAGATTCGCCCTGGACATATTGTGGGGCCTCCAAATCCCATTCTTTATTTTTACATCCACATCAATTATACCCTAGCTACGCCCTTGGTCAACCTTTGTAAGTAGTGTAAACAACTTTGCATGCAGTCTTTTTTTGACGTAATATTTTTTTTCCACTCTCCAATACTATATTGCTTATTTAAATTAAATATGAAACAATCAAGTGGCAAATTCCTAAGAATACTCCCGATTTAGCTATTTTGATACAGCTAAATGAATGCAGCATAATATATATATTTAATTCAGTTATATTATCTTTGTCTCTATATCATCGTGTTATTTAATTTTATCTTTATGACAGATGTGACTTTATTAAACGCTTTTAGCCATATATTTTTTGTGTATCATTAGAAGTATTGTGGGATATTTCGAATATCATTGCATTCCTAAAATGGTGTGAACTTCTTTTTGAAAGGTTCATTGTATGACTAATCCTTCTTATAAAATTCACAGACAATCCTTAGATGGAATTTCCACCAGTCTTACATACAAAGTTTGCCGGTAAGACCATATACTTACTTGAAAGCATTTTGGTTACATATGGTCACTGCTGGGAAGATAAGTGAGCTATTGTAGTTGACCTGAACATTGACAGTGACTGGATTACTGATGAAGTAGCAGACTCGATCTATTATCTGGTACACGAGTACTCCAAGACACACCAAAAGCAACAGCAACCAAACCAGCCTAAATCATGTAAGAAACTGGTATAATTTACAGATTTCATTAACTGTAAATATAGTATAACTTTCTGTTGTTGTTGATATAATGTCAACATTGTTCAATGCTCTTCTTTTGAAGGGAAATAAAAAACAAATTATTTGACTTTTTCGAAAATCGAAGTCTTAAGATAGAAATCTAAACACATTTTGCTCAAATATTTCAAAATATTTTTTTTGGGAGGGGGGGGGGGGTCAAAATCAATTTGAAAAACAAGAAAGCAAGATGTTTATAAAGAACAAAAAACGGTCCCTGAGGTATGATTTTCATGAATGGGGGAATACAGTTTATGCGGTATTTCCATTAAAACAATTTGAGTAATTGTAAAAACAATTTTTATAAAGTTTCGATCCTTTGCTTTTCATTACTTTTTATTCACATGGGTGGTACGTCATTATGAAAACACAATACTAATCATGCCGTAAGTGATTGAATTAAATGAAAAAAAATAAAAACACTTAATGGAAATTTCCTCACACGCAATCTACTATCACCTACGTAAACCTAACTTGAAAAGAATAATGTTTACTTATGACATGCACGACAGATTTGTTAATGGGAAAGGTCGGAAGAGGACAGTGCACGATAGGCTACAAGAACAATACTAAATTATTTAGATTATTGTAAACGTTCATAGCAGTCTTAAACGTTGAATAAACTGTCATGTTGACTTGCTTTAGCTTTACAATTTTTCGTAGTCCTTTATTAAATTACTACTTGTGAAATCGTGCAAAAAGTTTTGCAGATAAAGATTTGTTTCCTTTGTTTCTTATGAATGTGACTTCTTAAAAAAAAATGATATTCTGTTTTTTTTGTTGTTTTTTTTTCACTGGTAATTTTTTAATCAGCATTAAACAAGAAAAACTTATCATGCCGATGAATAGATTCTTCCTTTTTTCAATTGAATATTAAAAATGATGATCTGAATTCGTAAATAAAATCAATGATTTACCTTGCAGCTGAAATAAAACGTACCAGTCAAAATAAAGATTTTGCAAATAACTGTTCATGATTTAATTTTAAAAATGGCTATAATTTTAACCTAGAGGCACTGTGGGCACTTAGCTCACAAGATGATACCCCCGCTCAAATATGAGTATAATAGTAAGGTCCATTTTTTGCCATGGGAAACCTCACATATCTGTCCGATCATAAAAAAGAAACTGCACAACGGCACTAAGTAAGACATCGTCGCAAGCCACAGGTTTTGTGTCCATTCTATTTCCACAAACCCGTGTTTGTGGAAATAGAATGGACACAAAACCCGTGGCTTGCGACGATGTAAGTAAGAAAGATTCTGTGAAAGTCTCATTAGATTTTGCTCAGTGGTATAGGAGAAGTTGCAGATAAGAAATGAGTATCTCCAATGTTATAAAGATAATGACAGTGTCAAGGTTTTGCTATGGGAAACCCCAAATAAGCGTCAGATCGAAACAAGAAATAGGAGATGCACAATCGCACTACCTGTTAAAGACTATTAAAGACTATGACTATGAAAGTCTCATTGAATTCTGTTCAATTGGCTTAAGAGATGCATGTAGACAAGAGATTAGTACCCCCAATATTATAGAAATAATGGTAGTGTGCAGGTTTTGATGTGGGATCCAAATTTTTGTTTTTTAAAGACATCAGATCTATGCATGTGTAATTTTAACCAGTTAAATCCAATCAATGAATTTTCTTTGCTAGATCATTTAAACGTAAATATTGTTTTAAGAAACACTCAAAAACAAGGTACTTTAACATACCGTATCTAGTTTTAACAAGTGAATAAAAAAACTTTGATGCATGTCAAACATCATTGAAAATTATCTCTACTTGATGGGGGTTTTGCAATGGATCTGCATGGCTGGATATTTATTTCATCCTCGAATTTGCAATTTCCCCAGACTTAATTGCAAAGAGCTTCTCCAATTCTCTCATACCAATTTAATTTTGCCAGCTGTCGATATAAATGTTCTGTTAAGAGCAAGAGATTGTCAGAGTTCAGTTAGTATCCGTAATTTAAGCTGATATTTACATATTAATGGCAAAGACAGGAATCAATTCTACACATGATAGTGAAAGAAGTAGGACTTTATTAGATGAAAACTGGATTTATTTATAATAGTCATTAAAACACAGAGCTTCCAGTTTATTATGTGTATGGGGGTTGAAATAAAAGGTACAAAACTCTTGAAATAAAAGGAAATTTTTTTATAGCGAGTCAGCCAAAAATATTAGTTAACCTTACTCAAAAATTTCATAAATTGATCTAAGGAAGAGAACATGATTTCGATTTCACTGATTTCATGGTACTAATGTGAATTAATGCAGTTAAAACAATAAGCTCACATCTATTTCTGTCCACCTGACTGTTTAATAACAACAATATCATTTTTAAATTAAATATTTGTACCTTCGTTATTTCAACGAGGGCTATAAGTGTGCTTTCTACAAAAGTTTAGAGTCTTTTGGTTGGAGGAGTTAAGCACATTAAGAAAAGTGAAGAACAGTATATATACTAATTTGAACATTTGAAAGGTAAAACTTATAATTTAGATTAAATAACTCAATGTGTGAAGTGCTTAAACAACCATATTAAAAAAATTAATATAAAAACGCTTTTTTGCTAATTGTTAATTCTAATGACATTACTCTTGTCTTTTAAAAAATACTGCATGTGTATATTTACAAATATAAACCGAGGTCCCGTGTCGCAGTAGGTGCTGACACGAAAAAGATCCCTCACTGCTCAATGGCCCTAAGTGCCGAGCATAGGTCAAATTTTTTAGCCCTCCACCGGCAAGTGGTGGCGTCACTACATGAGTGAAAAATTCTCGAGAGGGACGTTAAACAACAAACAAACAAACAAAACAAAACAAATGTTAGGGTTAAATCCCTTTTACCTCCTTTAAATATAACCAAAGGGTAAAGCCAGGGTCCTGCAGTTTGTTGGTGGGTGGTTTACTACCTTAAGTAGCTTTAGTACACTACATAATGGGAAGAAAAATCTGATAATAAATGTTACCAAAGCTCAAAATGCTTCAAAGGATACCATGTAGAGAGGCGTTTTGATCAATGTTTTTTTTATCCATTAAGAGTACTTGAAAACATAGACAAACTCCAGAATAGGTACTTATATTATTGATGTAGGTACATTCATTTTCTACAAGAATTTGAATTTAAGGTGAATTGAAATACTTCAGATTTTTAACATTGCTTTATAAGAACTTTAAATGATTTTTTGTGATCAGGTTATGTGTTTTATTTCAAACTTTCAACATCTGTGTTAAGTACATTTATCATGTATTTGAATTTCAAATCAATATTGTATGCTTTTTTAATCAATCATAAATGTCTTATACAACTGTATTTCGAATTAACCATACATCAATGGCGTATATTTATTTTGGTTAAAATACTATCAAATGCATTATGTAAATTATTCTGATAGAGAATACATACTTGGATTCAAGGTCATCTCCAGTTTCAGGAATGTAAAATTTGGGAACAATACCTCACGTCAGAAGTAATTTAAATGTTTTGTGAAAGCTTTGAAGAAGACAATTGCTTTTATCAATGAGGTGAAAATTGCTATAAATCAATTAAAAGTTATATAATGACATTAAATAACAAGTTACCAAACCTATTAATCACGAGTATGGGTCTGTGAGCTTAAGTAACTGATACATATATTGGTAGACATTTTCAGGAGATTGAAAAAGTTCAATTTTATTGACCTATCTAGACAAGTGATATTGTTGTCTCATTCCTATCTAGGTACGTACTCTGATTGCGATGTGATTCTTGTCCAAATATGAATTCTTTATTTTAAAAGTAAAGCAAATTATGAATATTGCTTCAATTGAAGGAAGGGAGGGTATTGAATTTCAGGAAAAGGGTCAGAAATTAGAGTTAAGTAAGACTAATTTTCCCCGAAGCCTGCAGCGGAACTTACTTGTAATTTTTAAAACATTATGGTAAAAGATCTAGTCATCAGTTAAAAAGGTACATTTTTATATCGGGAAATGAAACAGAAGAAAATGCTATTTAGCAGATTTCTATAGGACAAAACAAAGAAGTATCGAATCTCACAAAATTTGGCAATGAATTATTTTTTGTATCAACCTTATCAGTCTTGTTAACTATAGGGTTCTGTTAGAGGTATTCAGAAAAATACATAATATACTTGAAATGTATTATTTTCCTCACATTGATAGCCAACTAACTTTGTTAATTTTGAATTTTCTTTTTCATAATCTTATAGAAAAAAAACCAGATTTTGTGGGATTTTTATTTGACAATCTGTTAGACACGAGGTTTTTGTTATTTTTTCTATCTTGTAGGCACCATTCCAAGTGAGACGAATGATAAAATAAATGTGCGCGTTGTTTTTAATGTTTGACCTTCCATCAGGAATGGGTCAAGCAGTAAGTTTTATTGATTCATGTCATAACGTTTGCCAAAATAAGATATCTGCGGGTATGACCTAAAAGCCAAGTCCGGTTTGTATATAGAGAGAAAATATAACTAAATACAATTGAAACAATTATCTCATAGGAATTCTTGTTATATTGGAACTTTTTAAAGAAGTAGGTAAAACGAAAGGATTTTGCGTCTCTTAAATGGGACAAATTGATATCATTTCTCTATTTTGCCCCTATTAATTTCATATCCCATTATTCACGATTTTTTTTTGATATTCTATGTGTAGACATTTCACATAACCCTCAGTGGTGAATTTAAAGGAGATTCTCATATTTTTCTCATTCTATCGAGATTATAAATTAAATAAACATATTGCAAGCTTGAAGGTCTTTACATAATATATCTAGAATTCTTTAAAAGAGATTTCCGAAATTGTTGTTTTTACACTTGATAAATAATTATCGCTCAAAATTTTGAATTTTTTGACTTGCAAGAATAAATTTGTTTTTGCTACATGTATATTCTAGAGGAATGAAGTGTCCATGCATTGATATAAAATTCGAAATATAGTTTACACTTAAAAAATAAAATTTTAGGAACGTACCGCCTAAAACAACCTGAAGATGGTTCCGTCACATACTTAATCCCGTGAACAGAGCTGGTATCTCCGAAGAGATAAAATTCCTCACAGAGCGAAGTCTTGTCTCTCTTTATCTGCTGCTTTTCCATTTTGACACTGGTATCTAACATATTGATCATCTCATCCCTTATAGCACCGTTAGTTCTGGTGTGATTGAGGTGAATACTGGCCATCTACATTAGAATTGAGCTTCTTATATCCATTATGTTTTGATATGCAGCAATGGATTAGTTTAAGTATCAAGACATTTAAAAAACTTTCAACAAGGTTTTTATTTTATAGAATTTGTTTTAATTGTATTGGTATGTGCAAATAGATGTACCTGATTATTTTAAATGGTCTTCTAAACCCCTTGACAAGATCACAAAAGAAATAGATTCCAATTCAGAACTATTTTAGATATGAGAAATCTGCCTCCCTCTCCCATTCATTAATATATTTAATATATGCAACACTTTATTATTAATTAGTAAGATATCGGTAATGAAATATATGTATATAGATAACGAACAGTCATCACATTATAATTTAATCTTCGATTCATTTTTTTAAAGAAAAAACATCAAATCATACCTTGAAAGTTAAAAATCAAAGCAGTCTAGATAGAAATTTTACGGCATCTTAAATAGCGGAAGGTCCAAGGATTCGCAATTCTTCTGAATTATCTGTGTAGAAATCAAGAAAAGGCACACAGAGCAGGTTAATAAACATCTAATTATTTGTGGCAAGAGAGTGACCTGGGTGCATTTTTTGAGCTCAATTCAAAATATGTTAAGATGGTTTTAATGCTTTAATAGCATAGAAATACAAGTACATGTGTGTACGATTTTAGAGATGTTATTTGTCCTCTGTGTGAAACAACACTTTCCCAAAGAGTTTTACAAGTCTAATTGTGGTCTATATCTGTCTAAAATGACGCTCTGATTTAACGCTTCTAGTATTTGGTGGTCCATAAGCAATTTAATTATCTATTTTTTTAAGTAGTACAGAAACTTACATTTCTTAATTTAACAAGCTTGTTATCTTTTATTACATTACTGTGATTTATTCATTGAATAAAAGTGATATTCTCTCACAGTGTGAAAGGATACCAAAGTGATATTCTCTCACAGTGTGAAAGGATATCAAAGTATGTAAAATATAATTTCTGGCCTGTAATAAGATTGAGATATTTAACTAAACCATCTTGACAGAGACTAAAACTGCCAATTTCTTCCCAAATATGTTGCTAAAATCCATGTTACAATGTTTTCATCTCACAACTGCTAAGCCATGACGTCTCAACTGCTCAACTATGACGTCACAGTCTATTACATTGTGTTAAGAAAAGACAGAGGCAAAGGGGAAATCAAAGAAAATGTAATAAATAGAAAATTCAATGTTTTGTAGTTGGATATGGAATTTATTTCACTCGTGAGACAGGATTTTTTTATATTTTCACTCGTGCTTCTCGTGCTTCGCACTCGTGAAAATATCAATAAATCCTGTCTCACGAGTGAAATAAATTCCATATCCAACTACAAAACATTGAATATTCTCTATATATTTCACACCTTGCATGTATCATAATGATGTCGAGTATGTCAATCAGGCAATTATGTCATTCCATTTTTTATTACAGAATTTAGACGAGACCTGAAATATGGACATAAACTTTTTAATGGTTTTGAAACGGAAAACGAATTTCAATTCATGTAGAATACATCCTTTCAAAAATGATAGCAATGAAATGTGTAGTTACCGAACAGAACTCATGCTAAAGAGTCCATTTTAACAATACAAACTATCAGCAAAGCACAAGAGAATCTCTGAAAACAGAGGTTGGATCAAGTGCCATGGAGGAATTGGCATTCACTGTTGCCCAGTCACACAAGCAGTGCGTCCTTTGTCATGATCACGTATACGGAAAAATCCGCAGACAATTCAGTGTGAAAATATGGCCTAACATTTTGTATGAAAGACGTCAACATTTGACCTAACGATAAAATGTATTTGCAAACTAGGTAATTGTAGCGACCATAGATTTTTCTAAATGTTGACTTTAAACGAGAGTGTTGCTATCTTTGTATCATCAGCTTATTTGCCAGTTGTCTGTCTCGTTTTATGAATTGTTCGTACGCATGTTCGAACATGCTCTTGTGTATCGAATCAACTGGGTGACATAAAATCCATATGCAGGTACAATTTAATGTGACACCCAATGCAGTTTACTATATAAAGTAAAAATAGACCCATAAAGTATTCATTTATTATCTATCATAATCATGCAAAGAATGTATAAGATAAGTCATCTTCAAACAGCAAATGCGATGCAGTGAACTATTAGTTGCAATTGTTTTAGTACTGCTCACAAGGGCTATTGATTTACAAAGCCGACCTTATGGCAAATTTTAATTTTCAACAATCTTGCGTTTAGTTTTTAACAATCAAGCATTTGAATGGTCAGAATTGTTTGCTGAATATCACTTTAAACTGTACAATTTATTAAATACAGTCTACAGGTCATACGTTTTCTTCTCAATATTATCACCAATTATGTGTGTACAATTTTTAACGTGTAGTCTTCAAGTCAGAAGTTGATAAACTTGGATGAAAATCATTTGTGTACAAACTTTTTTCCTGATCTCAACTTTAGAGATTCGTTAGTCCTTGAGCTATAGGTCAGAGGTTACTTGCTATAGATACTTTGCATTTTTCAATCCCATCTTTATGAAATAATTGTCTAACCCTTTATAATGATATGCCAAATGTGCCTGCCCTCCTGTCATAGTGTCGACAAATGCTGTGGAATTACATTTGTTTATTGAAGCGTTGTGTAATAATGATCTTCACTTTATAGATATATCTTGTAATAATCTGTCGTCATTTATAATAAATGACTTTTCTATCTATCACACTTATGTGGCATTTTGAATACTGGAGTACAACCGAGGTCTTACATAACGAAACATTGCTAAGCATGCGCAAATAATAGCATCAGTGAACCGAAAAACTACACTAGAGGACATAAATAAGCTTCAGTGAAATAAGAAAATAACGAAAAGTACTCAAGCTCAAAATTTAAAACAATACAAATTTGGAGCAGAGCAACCACGGACCTCTAAGATAACCAGAGGTGAGATCAGGTGCCATGGAGGAGTAAGCATTCCCTGTCGACCGGACACACCCGCTGCGTGCTCCTTGTTATGATCGGGTAAACGGAAAAAGCTGCAGTTATTCAAATAGTATATTTGGATTAAAGGGAAATTAGAATGGTGAATTCATTTACCAACATATTCTAAAGAATACAAACAGCAAAAGATAAAGGAATATGGCTTCATGACCTCTGATGTTTGAAGACCTTTTGTGTTATTAAAAACAGACGCTTGGAATTATTGGAATTGAACAATTTAAAAATTTAAAGAATTAACTGCTAGATGAACTTCTAAGACATGGGATTTAGATAAAACGATCAAAAAATTCGTTTTATTATTGCATTTTGGTCAATCCCCCCCCCCCAAAAAAAACAACCCCAACAATAAATTGAACAATATGCTATTGAATTTATGATGAAAAAACAATAATAATATAGTTCTGACTATTACTTGCCAAACAACCTACATAGAATTTATCAACGATATTTATGCCTTTTACAGGAAATATGGTGGTTTTGCAGATTTAACTAAGGAAATTAAATTAAAAGGCTTTAAAAATTCACATTGTGGCAAGGTTTTATTATCTACGGGTTAACGATTTCATTACAAAAGTTTTCACCTTTGGAGATTTCATAAAGTCAAAGTATATTCACCTTCGTTAGTGCCTGCAAATCAATAGTGTTAAATACGTACATAATCAACAACCAGTGAGTTATAGGTTAAACAATAATCGGTTAATCTTATATTTGTTTATATTGTACATGAAATACAAGGTGTGTTTCCTTTAATTTCTACTTGTAATTGTTGTTGTAGTTGCTGATCTTGCTTTTTAATTCATTAATCTTTAAAAAAAAAAAAAAAAAAAAAATCATATTATAGTGTTGAAATAGGATACGAAAAATTATATAATTTGTGATCAAGTCTATAAAAATGTCTATTTTCAATTTATTTTAAATAAAATCAAAAGTCAGTCAATTCTGTATAGATAAATCTGGATAAAAAGATACCAAAATTTCCCATATTCCCCCTCCCTTTCTCGCGAGTAAAACTCAAAGTTTCATGTATTTATTCAAACGCAATAGTAGAATGCAATACTTCGACTTCTTTCCCCATGGTATTGGTTTCTATTGTGCTAACTAATGACATAATTTTCAGTAAATTTTGATAAGCATTATTTTTTGGTTAACGCCCAAATTCGTTAATTAGTTTGAGATTAACAACCATTGACTAACAAGCATCAGGTACTCTGATCGGAAAATATTATTCTTGGGCTGTCATCTCTAAATAATTAATTTAACCTAGAAATGAATGTTTTCCTACTAAAGTTCAAATCTAGAATTTAAGAAAAATCACTTCTGACACTGGTTATATGAAAGATTTTTTAAAGAAATATATTAAAATATCTAATTGTAAGGAATAGCTTAGAATTAAAAAAGCTAACTAGGGGTCAATGTGCATCTAACTGAGGATAATACAAATAGCTTGACCTTTTTGCACTTAAATTGGAACTTTTATGTTTCAATCATATTAAACAAGACGTCACCATGACAAAAAATGTAAATTTATTTTATCCAAAATAGTTTAAATAAAATACTTGTATAAAAATGAAAAACATTTGCTGATGAATTCGCATTAATTATTGTGTTACCCTTTTGCACTTAGAAAATGAAATATTTTGGGTACTATAAATCTCAATAGGCAGTAAAAATATTCCTTGTATTTATGTAGCTTTCTATGAATTTTATGCTGATCTGTTAGAAGTAGAGGGAAAATTAAAAAATAAGATAAAACGATTTGGCAAGAATTTAAAAAATAAGATAAAACGACTGGCCATTGATGTTAATGTTGAGATACGCGTCAAAATATGCAAATTTCAGGATATTTGAATATTTCAATATATCTGCAATTTTTGCGAAAATAAGTTGAAAAAATGAATAAACTTTGTTCTAGGAATAGCATTTGAAATCTACGTTGAATATTCCTGGCATATTGTATATGACAACTTAAACTTTTTTAAGTTAAATTTGTAGGGCAAAAGT